ACAATTCACGTCTCAAAGTTATAAGAAAACTACAATTCCTTTTAGTGAATGGAGGACAAAAATCTCCCTTCATTCAAATTTTATGGGTTCCTACGGTGCCCTGAACACAAGCTTCCACTTTACCGCTAGCCCGTAAGGTGCCCTGAATCGAGTCACTTCTACCGCTAACAACTACGACCCGGCGGAGATTTTAATTCTGCAGTTTTGACGCCCCGCTGAAGCTACTAGGTCGCAGAGTTCCTCGCATAGAATAAATGAATATATACAAAAATACTCCACACTGACAATAAGAAGTATCAAACATGTACATACATACTGTACATATACTAAGTACATACAAAGATATGATGAGATTCTACTTCAGGAGGTAAATCATGAGATTGAGAATCGTAGAACAAGTATTGATGTCGGCGCAGCAAAAATATATCAGAGAATGGATTTTACTAAAACCAGAATCTGTTCCGCAATGAATCGACACTACAAAACTCCGGAAATTCTGGAAAATGGTTGAACTGTACTGAAGGAAATTCCCGATCAAGCAAAACCGCGGTAAGAACGAATTGAAATGATTTGCAGAAATATTTCCATCCATAATACTAACGATGCCGTGCAAGTTGTAGGGTACGGAATAAATATATTTTATCAGTTTTATTTTATGCACCAACCGGCTCTAGCATCTCACATCAGCCGGCGGAGCAAACCGAAAGAAAATGTCAATAAATTCTCATATCAGGGTATTCCAGTGTAAACATTTAAACATTGGTAAAAATAAAGCTAACCAGGTGGGCAATGTATTAAATTCATATTAATTCAAACCGGAATGAAAAATTTCACAATGACGCTAAAGGAACTATGCCCATGAAATGAAGAATTTAATTATAATCTCACCCATGAACTCTCACCCCTGTGTATTAAAATTCGCGGAACGTCACTCGGCCCCTCACTGGTATTTCTTCAATTACCGGCAATAAAATGAATAAAAGTTAAAACATATTATAGGATAAATGCAAAATAAAAAAGAATGTTATCGATTCGTGCATCAAAAACACGATGTTGGTTGTCGAAATGTGTGCACGGAGCATTCCACACGGCGAACGAGATAAGAACACACTATTTGTAAATAAAACACGATAAGCGTCAATAGTCAGAAGATTGAAATAATGCTAGCTTCGGCAATATCGGCACAAGTAAGAAAGGCTTAGATTTTAATTTTATATGAATTTACTATATTAATTAGGTTTTAAGACCGTATTGTTTGCAACGGAGCTGAGATTGGCGGCGGCCATGATAAGGTCTGAAAGGCGAATACATTCACGGCGAACGCGACGATATATCGGATACTGACAGACGCTTAGGAATGAAAACTCATATCACTAGGTACATTTATCATTCTAACTTTAAATGAAGTCCAATGTTACTACGCAAGTGCAGAATAAAAATAAATAGCAATTTACCAATTGGAAGATGCAATACGCACTTCAAAACAGGTAAAACAACATAGCCGCGATACACCCGGCGCAACAATAAATAACAATACTAAAGTTGTACTAAAGTCAAGTTAATATTAAATAGTCAATTGGATGATTGGAATATAATCTGAATTAAAAGCAGAAGTCCAAACAATACAAGTCGCGCAAAAATACGTCTGATCAACCAGCGACCGGCACAAAACTGGCTGCAAGCTGCATAAGTAACGACGAGAGGCAGTTTATGATAAGAAAACAAGAGGTGCGCAGCCGGGAGCGTCGATCAGACGCGACCTTGTGCGTGAATTCGCAATAGATGCGCAAAATCCTCGGCGGCGCGCTCGACACCGCGACCTTATGCGCAAATTGCATTTCAAGCAGTTTACCTGGGATCAAAACTAAACCAAGAAGCGCAACATGCGGCGTGAGGCGCTGGCGCAACGACCACACACACGGCAATGCGATAAGAGGCAAGATTGTGTTCCAACAAACACAATGCTTTATTTACAATTTTAGTCCTATGCTATTTCAGCACCGGCAAATGATGTTGCGTTTCTAAATTCAGATTATTAAAAATAATAAAAAATTAAAAAATTGATTCGGTAATTCTGATTTTATGCTGACAGATCACAAATTTTAAAATCAAAATTATTTAAGAGGATACTTAATTTGAAATACGCATCGTTTTTCCTTTACCAGGGAAACACATTAATCCGTAATCATCTGCCGATAATAAAACGCATTAGAATTACTATAAAATTGTTAGTTGGTATTCATGAAAAGAATTGAAGAACACTGCTTAAATTTACGATCCTAATATAATAACAGCAACGGTGTGTTTTGAATCCACGAAATAAAAGATTCGATACCCGCAGTAAACAAACTTATCTCTTGTATGAAATCGCGTGATCCATTACTGACACGGTGCGCACTCACTACCACCAACAAGCAATATTTAATGCAAAATCGTACATCGTAGCGCCATCTAACCTTTGAAAATATTTATCAACTTCAACTCTATCAGATAAAAGTATAGTACAATTATATTTCCTACGGTGAAGCAAGGTCGAAAACGCGACTAAAAGTGCTAAAAGTGATTTTGCAATTTATGCCCATTTTATTCAATCGCGAAATATCTCTGTAAACTAAAAGAGACAGCTACCAACGAATTGTTGATTATGAGCATAGAAAATTTTCACGATAAAAATATAAAATAAATATATTTCCTACAGTAAAAGGTCGAAAACGCGACTAAAAGTGCTAAAAAGTATTATTTTGCAATTTTTGCCCATTTTATTCAATCGCGAATATCTCGTAAACTAAAAGAGATATTTAAGATCTGATCGCAGCGTCTAATCTACGGACTATTCTATAAGATAGCTAGTTTAAACGGAAATGTGAGAAAAAATACTCACTCTTAAGAAAAATGGGCAAGGGTATTTGATACTTTTTTCGACGATTTTCAAAAATTCATATCTCTTAAACTAAAAGAGACAGCTACCAACGAATTGTTGATTATGAAAAGATTGGTGCAATTCCCTATCAGATAAAAATATAAAATAAATATATTTCCTACAGTAAAAGGTCGAAAAACGCGACTAAAAGTGCTAAAAGTGACATTTTGCAATTCTTTTGCCCATTTTATTCAATCGCGAATATCTCGTAAACCAAAAAGAGATATTTAAGCATCTGATCGCAGCGTCTTAATCTTACGGACTATTTCTATAAGATAGGCTTAAACGGAAATGTGAGAAAAATAATTTCTTTCACTCTTAAGAAAAAAATGGGCAAGGGGGTGTTGATACTTTTTCGACGATTTTCAAAAATTCATATCTCTTAAACTAAAAGAGACAGCTATCAACGAATTACATTATGAAAGATTGAAAATTCTCTATCAGATAAAAAATATGTACAAATATATTTCCTACAGCAAAGGTCGAAAACGCGTGACTAAAAGTGCTAAAAGTAACATTTGCGTAATTTTGCCCATTTTATTCAATCGCGAATATCTCGTAAACTAAAAGAGATATTTAAGATCTGATCGCAGCGTCTTAATCTACGGACTATTCTATAAGATACATTTAAAACGGAAATGCGGAGAGAAAAATAATTTTCACTCCAAGAAAAATGGGCAAGTGCTTGATACTTTTTCTTTTCGACGATTAAAAATTCATATCTCTTAAACTAAAAGAGACAGCTACCAACGAATTGTTGATTATGAAAGATTGGTGCACCTCTATCAGATAAAAAAAAATATAAATAAATATATTTCCTACAGTAAAGGTCGAAAAACGCGACTAAAAAGTGCTAAAAAGTGACATTTTGCAATTTTTGCCCATTTTATTCAATCGCGAATATCTCGTAAACTAAAAGAGATATTTAAGATCTGATCGCAGCGTCTTAATCTACGGACTATTCTCTATAAGATAGGCTAGTTTAAACGGAAATGTGAGAGAAAATAATTTTCACTCTTAAGAAAAAATGGGCAAGGGGGGGTGCTTGATACTTTTTTTCGACGATTTTCAAAAATTCATATCTCTTAAACTAAAAGAGACAGCTACCAACGAATTGTTGATTATGAAAGATTGGAAAATTCCCTATCAGATAAAATAATATAAAAATAAATATATTTCCTACAGTAAAGTTGTCGAAAAACGCGACTAAAAGTGCTAAAAGTGACATTTTGCAATTCTTTTAAGCCCATTTTATTCAATCGCGAATATCTCAAAACTAAAAGAGATATTTAAGATCTGATCGCAGCGTCTTAATCTACGGACTACTCTCTATAAGATAGGCTAGTTTAAAACGGAAATGTGAGAGCAGAAAATAATTTTCACTCTTTTAAGAAAAAAAATGGGCAAGGGGGTGCTTTGATACTTTTTTTCGACGATTTTCAAAAAAAATTCATATCTCTTTAAACTAAAAGAGACAGCTACCAACGAATTAATATTGATTATGAAAGATTGAAAATTCTCTATCAGATAAAAAATATAAAAATAAATATATTTCCTACAGTAAAAGGTCGAAAACGTGACTAAAAAGTGCGAAAAGTGACATTTTGCAATTTTTGCCCATTTTATTCAATCGCGAGTATCTCGTAAACCAAAAGAGATAAATAAGATCTCGACCGCAGCTGCTCCTAATCTACGGATCAAGCTCTATCAGATAGATAGTTAAAACGGAAATCGAGAGATGAAATTTTAAGTCTTAAGAAAAAATTGCCAAGGGGGTGCGCTTGATACTTTTTTCGACATTTTCAAAAAATTCCTATATCTTCTGTAAACTAAATTCGCTAAATTCTGCATCTGGAAAAATTCTTCCGAACTTATTGTGACACCGCGTTCGCGTGTTATATTGAAACAACTACAATTTCAAAACAGGGAGAAAAATATAATTGAATTATAAACTTGGCCTGTAAGTAATATTTACACTACTTGATGCAATTCTCAGAGTAAACAATATTATTAGCGAAATTGTTCATTGCGGATAAAAGAGTTGCTTTTCAGGCGAAGGAATTATAAAAATTTATAATTCCTTCGCCTGAAGAGGAAGGCTTAGCCTTCGAAATGCGCATCGCGACATTAAAGTTATTTGTGAGACGGGGTTTTTAAACTTCCTATTATTACCAGTGTACAGCTTATCGGACTGCCAGGCACAACGAGTGCTGCAACTAAACGAAAACATAAATTAAAACAAAAATATTTCATACAATTGAATTATGATATAATTAACAATCAACACAAAATAAACAATCAGTGCTGTTTAGTTCAAAAGTATTTACACGAGCCTGATGGATCTTTCTTAATGATGAGCATCAACATGGGGAGTATATATATCCAATTAATTTAGTAACCGACACCAACCACAACGCCGATTGAAGAATGTTTGCAAATACACTATCACGTGACTTGTAATATACATATCAAACGCGATCAAAAACCGGCATTACCTAACTTAAACAAATTACTATAGTCGCAAAGTACAAATAAATAGTCGATTGATCTTCCATGAATCTTCTTTGAATATTAAAGTCCGGATAAACGATATACACAATTGAAAACACAACTGCATTATCCAGCGACCGGCACGAAACTGCCTGCAATCCAGCGATAGTGCATGCTGAGATTGCGTAAACAACGATGGAACAGTATATGATAAGAAAGCAAGAGGTGCGCAAAACCGACGAGTCAAAGACACGCGACCTTGTGCGCGAATTTGCGCGCGGGATACATGCGATAAGAACGTTGTTTACACCGAATCGCAAATAACAGCATTGTATGCAAAACTATTCTCTTGCCCACGTGTGTCGATAAATATAAAAATAAGCCGTATAAGTTGATTTTATGATTTTTAGTGCGTCCTAGTGCCATCTATGAAAGCAACAGATACTAGCAGCACAATTTGGACTAGTATGATTAATGTTTGTCTAATGTATGTCAACATATAATTTAATTTAATATTAAAAATTTGTTGTTCAAAGTATCCGAAGATCGGTAAAAACAAACATATCTCAGACGGGCAATGTATTAAATTTCCAGTAATTCAAACCGGAATACAACAATTGCAAAACTGAAATGCGCCCATGAAATGAAGAATTTAATTATAATCTCACCATTTTCTCTCACCCCGTGCATGGTAACTAATGGATCGTCACTGGCCCTCACTGGTTTTACTTCGATTCCTATAATAAAAGAATAAAAATAACATGAATTTAAAAAAAAAAATAACTTGTAAGAATAAAAGTTTGTGGTCGAAATGTAGCAATTCTTACCAATTGGAAGATGGTCGACGGCATACCACAACAGCAGGTAAACCGAGAAACACAGAGCTGCACACACACCAACAGGACACACTGAACTAACGCCGCAGGCGGCCTGCCCGGTCTGCCTGTGTCGAGCACGCCGAGTATGCGCAGACGACAAAGGCGCTGCCAACTGCAAAAACTAAAACTAAAACGCCCGACAACCCCCCGAAAACCGCCGAAGTGTGCAACAACATGTCAAAAACACCAGATTTGATTAATTTAAACAAACAATTTAAGCATTTGTTTATTAAAACACAGGTAAGAAAGGAAAACGTCTATTTTTATTCGATTTTTATTTTCATAGTGATAATCCGTCGTTTCATCTCTACCTCGTGTGTTTGTCAAAAAAATCAAACAGTTTTTTGACATAATTAGCACCAATTAAGTTAAATTGTTTTTATTTAAACAAATACATTTGACAACATTTAAGTAATTTCACCTCGTGGGATGAGGCATTCTCATAAACAGTATTACAAAAAGTGATTAGGACATATATAAAATACTTAATTAACTTGCCTATATGTACAAAAGTCTTTTCGTAAAATCACCATGACGAGGCTGAGTTTTCATTTTTCGTATCTTCGTTTTTGTGAGTTGATTCTTTGTGCGCGTCGATCAAATAATAGATTACTTCTTGACTGAGAAACCATCGCCGGTCGGATCCAAGATCCAGGGATAGTTGTTAGGGCATTCCATGCAAGTGAAAAGACGCAAAGTTTCTCCTGGTAATTCCCTGGTGTTCAAAGCACATGCGTTAGGCAAAGAGCAGTAGGGTTGTCCCTTAACATCGCACTTCTCCTTCCATTCCTGGAAGTCACGGAGACCATTCAATTCAGTTGGGTTCTGCATCCATTGAATAACTTGCAGATTGGTGACAAAGTAAACATCATTACGACCCAACATCTCCTCAATGAATTTGATCAATTCCTCACGGAATTCCTTCTTGCTCTTCAACCAGGAGGCGTGGAAGTTCAGACCCAATGGAGCACGGTTACTGTTGAAGTGACGGTTGAAATTATGACGGAGGAGACGACCGAATTGCTCGCCGGATTGGATGTTGGAGCAGGAGTCAACCATGTGACAACCAGGTAGGGATTCATCAAAGGTAGGGTCATCACGACGATCAAGTTCATTCATGACCATCTCCCAGACTGGGTGGCTCCTGGATGGGCAGTTATGTGCGTTACCATTGCACTTGTGTGGCATACGGAAGTATAGAGTATAGGGCCAGATTGGTACACGACCAAGGGAAGCAGTGATGGAAGCATCGTAGACAAAGAATTGATCGCTCATCATTTCGAATTGTTTGTTGCCACCGACACGGAGGTAAGGAGCACGGACACCAATGATTGAACCGTCGGTAATGTTAGCAAAACGTTCAACAATCAAACGACCGCCGGCCATTTCAGCGAGCCAGTCATCATAGGTTCCCTGGGTCCAGTAGTTAGGGTCATCTTTGTGGGTAAGTGAAAAGACAGCGATTTCATGACCGCGACGATGCAGGTCCTGCACAGCTGAGTAGTTTGTGTACTTGTGGGACACAAAGAAGGTACCACGGATTTGGCAGCCATTAGGGTTAGCACGTTGACCATTGAAGATATCTTCGTAGAGGTCAATATTGTCTACGTTAACAGCACCGTTGAAGGAGAGGGTGATCATTTGTGGGACATTAGCGGGTTCAAGTTGACCAGGGATGCGGGTTCCGTCAGCGGAGCAGAAGCAATCGGGAAGGACGCATTGGGTTTGATCGCAGTCAGGGGCCCTGTTGGGATCGGTCTCAACAGCTAAAAATTTAAAAACATGTTAATCTTTTTGTTTGCTTGTTTTTTAAAACAAATTACGTACTGCAAGAGTTTTCGTCGGATTCATCTTTGCAATCAGGTTTGCCGTTACAGAAGAGGTCCTTCTCGATACATTCACCATTACCGCATGAGAGTTTACCATCAGGGCAGACAGGTTCATCGGTCTTGAAGATTGGTAGGATTTTACGTGGTTCTGTTTACATACAAAAATGATTAGAATATGTGGGACACTATGAGTACCAAAAAAGGTGACCAAGTTGACTGATGCTTGTGTGGAAGGTTGCTTTTGTGGTTTGGCTATTTACAAGTGTCGCAGTTTCGATCTGTTGACGCGATAATTCGAAACAATTTTGTACAATAGAAAGTAGTTTACTTTTTTCTTCGTAAAGATCAAGAGAAATGAAAAATGAGAAGGTTTAGTCACAAATTTTAAGTAAAAAAATTTACACTCAAAGATGAAGAAGATAAAAATATTCTAAGTATAATTTTGTGCATAAGCAAGATTGAAAAATCGAACATAAATTTAATAGAAACAGAAAAAGAGAAAATGTTTACTTGGACTGCTGTGTTGTGGTGTGTGTGAGTATGTAGTAATGTTTGAATATTTCTCTACGTGGTTAGCAACGTATTAAAAACACCGAAACCAGTTAATTATTTCTTAATCACATACTACTAGGTTTTACTACTGTAGAATTGTTAATTAGAAGGATTAGTGCAGTTAAAAAAGCACCCGTGTGTGTTTTGGTGAAGAAATCTACTTTCTACTCGCTGGCGTATCGCCGCCATTTTGTGTTTCTGTACAGCTTGCTGCATTGCAAACCCAACGAAATTTTGTGCCGTCACCCCGTCTCGCCTCGGCTTTAAATGCCAATTGCGTTTCTTTAATAACGACTTACTCTCTAGCTTGTCACAATTTGTGACTTTACCCTTCCAGTCACAAGTCTGTTTATCGATGTCAAAAGCCAATCCACTCGGGCAAGTGATTTGTTTTAGCCCGGATTTGGTACACCTGAGATGGGACAATTCGAACAAAAACCACATTAACATCGTGTTACGATGACCAAGAAATACTGCGGATATCAATGTAAGAAATGCTCCCAGTGCGGACGCCATTTTGTTTCGATAGAAAATTTTTTCATGTAGAGAATTTAATTTACATGTGGGGCACAAATGCAAAACATTTAGATATCGGGCACTATTTCTTCTGGGAACTTACTTTCTACGCGATCGCAATTTTTAACGTTCGTTTTCCAGTCGCACGTTTGGCGGTCAATGTCGAAGGCCAAGCCAGCCGGACACCGCACTGATGCCAAACGCGTCGAACCAAGACCTTCTGTGTTTTTATCGCACCTAAATCAAATCAAAATCGATACTGAATCATGATAAACTCTCAATAACTACGTATTGCTAATTTTATCCGTATTATTATTATTTGCATGAGTATTTTTAAAAATGGTCGCCATTTTACCTTACGACATCACGGCAGTCGCCTTCCGTCGACAAACGGAAGTACTCATCGGCCGGACGGCTTTCGCAGAGCTCCTCCGCGGTGGGGTCATTTTCTACTGTATCGTCATCTTGGGCCAACGCTACAAAAGAAAAAAAAGTGATGAAAAAGATGGTAAAAGCAACTTTTACTCGCAAATCCAAGTTGCTGTTAGCGTTTAACCTTGTAAAAGCGTAAAAGGAACATGGCCGCGGGTACGAAAAGGAAAGTTAAAACCGAAACTCGTTCCGACTCGACTTGGAGCGAAGACCAGATTCGTACCAGTATGTGTATGTGACTTTTACTCGCTTGAGCGGCCAGCAAAAGGTTGGACCCGAGCATACGAGCCAGAAGTGAGCGATGTAATCGCGAGATATTCGAATTGCGCGACGCCTTGAGCTACCCAGCTTCTTGAATTCTAACACTCACTTAGAGAAAAACGCAAATCTAATAAGGAAACGCGTAATTTTAATTTCAATTTAATTTACCGTTACTTCTACGTTCCGCGTCGTAATATAATTTTAATTTCACTTTCAAAATAATAAAATTTCAAATTAAATTTATTGTTTTGTTTTGATTTGATGTTTAATAGAGATAAAAATAATAATAAAAAGTTCAAAAACTTACCCAGCCCAACCAACAACAAACAGCACAGCCAAAGCGTTTTGTTAGCCATGCTGAGACCTCAAGCACTAGCTAAGAAGTGGCGGCCGGCGAGACTTTATATTTATAACGCGGCGGTTTTGGCAAGAGCGCACGCGCCGCTTCGAGCGCTCCTTTTCCTTCTCTTCACCTGCCTGGCGCACCTGAGGACACGCACAGTCTGCGAGCGTGTTCACTTTCACCAGGACGGACGACTCGACGCGAGCGAGCGAACTACGGTACTGACAACGCTTGTCGATAGGTGACTCTACTTATATTAAATTTTCAAAAGCAAATGGCCGCTTTAGACTGCCATCCACAATCGTATAATTAATAACAATCAATTAACACGTCACAATCATCATAATAATCACCCCCACTATAAAAAATATCATTTAATTTGTACTTTTAAGTTAAAAAACGAATAATTTTCAAGGTTTGCTTTGCAAAAATCAAACAGAAACTTTTAGGTGACATTTACGGCGGCCATCTTGTCATCAACACAACCTGCCATGTTAACTTTCTACCTACTACATCTTTAAACCTGTGAATATAAATTTTGAATACGAAAAACATCCCAGAGCATCTAATTCATTACATAAATTAATAAAAAAAGCAAGTTTCGAAAGCGTGCATCAGGTCGCATCGCAGCATGCCGAATCTCGACCACAATATCGATGTCGGATTTAAATATTTGAATATTAATTCGATTCAAATGCGCTCGGTGGGTTTGCTTTTTTCCCGGCGAGCCCAGCGCCGCACGGTATAATTAATGAGCACATAACGAATGTAATCTAATGCATTTTTAATTCGTATTTTCCCGCATATCATTTCATATTTGTCCGGCGTTTGATGTAGGACACCAGCGACATTCTACGATGTAATTAGGTGACATTGTCTCGCTAGCCTACAAAATTATGCACACGAGACGACAAGAACTCGGAATGCAAATTGTCGCACAATATACACTTCAGTAACAATTCTTTGGTTTTGATTTGACGCCGTGAACTTTTAGTTTCTCTCGCTGGAATGCTCATCGTCTTATATATGCGTATTGTGAGTGCTTCGCCCAACCGTCAAAACTAAGCAAACAGATAAATTATTCATTACGTGTCTTCAAACAAACAAACAAACTTTTTGAAACGGTTTCCTTCTTCATGTCTAACAGGTTCTTTTTGATTGATATGCAGTCATTCGTGAATTCCATCATGAAAATAAAGAATAAATGATCATGTGCTACTTGTGCACTGTTCTCACTGCCACATAATGCTAATAATTATGCGACCAATGACAGAAAACGTTTTTTCTTCATTCTTTTACGCGATACAAGGCTGTTTTGCAGGATTATGTTGCAACTAGGAAGCTGATATTCAATAAAATGCAATAAAATTCGATAAAAACTCGTTTCCTACTCGTAAATTTTTTTGTTGCTTAAATTATTCACATTTTAATGATGATATATATCCGCAAATTGAATTTTCAAGTCTACGAGAGGCGTACAAATCAATCGCAGAAATATTTTACTATATTCTTAATAATTCCAAGGTCTACCACTTTTTCTTCACATTGATTCGATTTGACATTCAGTTTTGAAGTCACCGAGTCACGGGGACATCGTTCTTTCTTCTTGGAAGCATCAAACATGTTTTCGACTGATGCAAATTGTTTTTGTTGTAGTGTGTGGATATTTTGCAATGCGTAATATTAAATATGAAATACAGCCGCGCGTTGAAATTACATAGCCACATTACATTACATTATTCTAATGCCTTCGTTAATGCTTTGTAGAATTATTCATGCGCCGCGCGTTTCGATGAAATGTAAGAAACGAACGAAAAAAGGTGTAGGAAACCGCGCCTTGCGCCTAGCTTCGATTCTCGATTGTGCAGATAATAATAGAGTGTGCGTTCGCTGGAGCTCGCAAACTATCGTAATATTGGCAACGTAACAAGTACTTATTCCATTGTGTGTTACAACAATTGTCAATTGTCTCAAAGTAACCGTTAAAACAGTTTTAAATGTTAAATTCACTTTATAACCACAAATTTACTCCTTAAGTTAGGCAACTTTATGTTCATTTTAATGTATGATGTGTTGCCTATATTAAAATGTTTGAGTAAAGTTGTTTTTATGCAACATGTTGTAGATAATTGACTATACAACTTGCTAATAACTCTTTCTTGGTATTGTTGTACAGCGATGAAAATTCGCTGTGGTTTGGTAATGTTTGGCAATTGTTATTGTTACTTTCTTGCGCTTTTCTGTGTCGCCAACTTGTGTCGCCAACCCTAAAAGGTCGTCTGCGTTGTTTCTAGCCGCTATGATTGTTTAACATTCAGAAGGAATGCCACACACAAGAATGTGCGCTTACATAATCGCAGCAATCGTGTGTCGCATCTTTCCGCAGCGTCGCGAATCCGCTGAATGTAAAATGCAAATGTCCAATTTGTACATGCGTTCGTTTGCAAATTGCCATACCCAAATTCGCATTAATAAAGCGAATGAAATTAATGTGCGCCACAAAGAAAGAGAAACTTGTTTGGAATTTCCAGAAGCTGGCGATCGTTATCGCGCTCGAATATTAAAGATTCATTAGTCAAATTTACAATTTATTGATTCGTGTGTGTGCTTAGTGAATGTCGGCTGTTAATTTCAATGTTAAATGCGTTAAAAGAAATCCGAGGAGTGAAATAAAACAAAGTCGATCACTGCGGACGAAACGAAAGTTCTTTGAATGCCTGAGTTGGCTCGAACTGTGCCAAACTTCGATAAAAGGTGCTCTTTTATTTTCTTTTTGCATTGAGATCGATGCCAACCGCTTCGACAAACGTTCACCCATTGTTTTCATCACGCCAAAGAATGTTCAAATTGATTGATGCATTTATTATACGCGAATTTTTGAATGTGCGGCGCCAAAGAATGCGCAATAAATTTATAATTATCATATTTAGTTATTGCTAAAGACAAGAAAAATAAAAGTAAATTCATAAATGAAAATTCAACATGTTTTCAATTAAGAATTAATAATTAAACATATTTTACCGCAAAAAAAACTTATATAACACTTTTGAAGCATCAATTAGTCAATTTTTTTAGGTTGCGTGCTCAATCTGCTCAATAACGATGGGTGTTCATGTTATAAATCGACGGATTGTTACTCAACCTCATTGATTCGGCGTATAATCACGATCATAGTTCTAGAAATTCTTTTAAATATCAAAGATCGCACGCTACATTGAATTTTAATATCAATTTCATAATCAATATTTTTTAATATAATTTATTGTATTGTAGAATATAATGTCTGAGGACGCCACCTGTGTATTCAAAATGGCAAAGTAGACAATGAACGCTTTCAGATAGCTGAATGTTTATTAAATCAAAACAATATTAAATGATATGCATAATCTGGCTTGCGTAATGCGATTTTTTTGCTCGCGCTCGTCACCACATCGTCGCTGCTCGTTAAACCGCGAGAAATAATTACCAACGCCCAACGTAAATTGTTTGGAATTGTAAAAACGCCTTTCTAAACGAATGCAATCGTTAAATAACGCTAGTTAACCGAAATTGTTACACTAAATGCAAAATAATGATTTGCCGGATTTCGAATTATATTTTCGGAACGCGTAATTTCATACGTATATTTCATTGGTGTGGGATTAATGAGCTTTAAAGCGCTGGTTAATTAAAGTTTAATTAAGAAACGAAACGTCCTTCAGTTTCTAATTTTATGTGACGCTCATGTTAATGAATCTTATTTTGAGCAGCGAATGTAAGTGTTATTCTTGGATTCTTGGAAATTGTTGTTTAGTGCTTTGACATTTTGCGCTCTTAATTCATTCGACTGCTCGCGCCTAAAATAAAATCCATTGGAAAACACCGCGCAGCAATTGACACTTTTCGAAATGTAATATCTTCGCTGAACTTTAAAGCAAGACGCCGTTAAATCTTTATTTTCATCACTAAAATATTGTTTGGGTGGATAAATAAAGATTGTGCAATGAACTCGGGTCAAGTCAGGTGTTCAATTCGTCGGTCAGTGGCGTTAGATGTGATTGGAAACGCTAATCGTGACTTAGAGCTGGCGACGTATCGTAAATATTAATTAGCCAAACGTTTCGTGCGTTTGCTGCCATCGTTCACGAAGAAATGTGCTTCGAGAACCCAAGGAAGCGGCGAACACGTAAAACTTTCACGGTCAGGTTCATTGCCAGCGAGTTCTTTCCTCGTGCGGTCTCGAATTGAATGAAACGAATCGATAATTACGATGAAAAATAAATTTCATCAACGCGGATGAAATACGAACCAGACGCCCACTTCCGTATGGCTGCGCCCGTCGCCGAAAACGTCTTTCTCTTTCGATGACAATCCGATTTCTTCGGCTTGGTTGGCGAAAGAAGCGACTTCGCCAAGCGAACAAGTTTGTTATTGTAACGTGTTTGAGCATCAGGCGCAAAGAAAGTGAATTTTTGATTTTTTTCCCGACGTGTGTGGAGACGTGATGTGGGTCAAGGTGTTTCGAAAAATCCCATAAAGAGATAAAAATTTCACTTTGCATTCGGATGATGATTGGTTGCCTACTGGACACAATAACCTAAAATGTGCGCACATAACCTCACCATATGCATCTCTAACCATGTTTGCATGCAGATGATTCGTGCAATTGTGTTTGAATTAACATTTAGTGAATTCGGAATTTAATTATTCATGACGCTTTTTGTCGTTATTTCCTATCGTAGGTTTTCAACCAACTCGAAGACGTGTTTTTTCCTTATTGCAATTCATGAATAATTTAATTTCATAAGCAATTCTCAAGGAATTCCGTAAATTCATCAGATCACCGATCAATTTGCATTTTAAAAAGTCGTTCTTTTACAAATCCAACACGTCAATCAATCCGTGAACTACATTCGCACCAAATACGCCAATAAAACATCTAGCAAACAACAAAGTAGGAAATTTATGCGTGATCAATTGAAATATCAATCGAACGCGATAAAACGTGCAAATTAACACGCAAATCATAATTTCATGCATTCGTATCAACCTGGAGGCCTTGATCGATGATATTAAATCAGTTTAGAGGCTTACCAACAGGTGACCAATGAATTAATCACTCGCATTGTGTCTTGGAAAATTTCCTCCTCAAGGGTGCGCTAAATTTATAACTCGCGTTTCAATGAATGTTGAAACAAGTTGTTGTTCGTCCCAAAAGTGAAAGTGCTCAAGAAATCCACGATAAATGAAGCTAAACTCAACTTCACTCAGCAGTTAGTTAATTGAATCAATAAAATATGAAATTTAATAGAAATTGTTTATCTCCAGCGGTAGATGAATTTAATCAATTAAATTTTATTTCGAATTGAAACTACGATGACACTCTGTATATGAAAATAAACACGTTTAGTGAAAGCTGTGAAATGTGTGAAGACCAAACGATTTCCAACCAAAATACGCAATCAAGTTCATTAATATTCACACAAAATGATTTTTAATGATTTTATTAATAAAATCATTTAGTAAGTCAAGGTTTGTGCATTGTTCGATCGGATTTAATGGCGTGTGCATGCGGATGAATAAGTCTGCGGGTTTACTTTGTCTTTTATTATCATAATTATCTTTTAAACATAATTTTATTTTATTACATGTATGTACGCTCGAAGCATGCGTGCTTTGGCACGCTCCGGGCGCTTAGAATACGTTTTTCTTTCTCAATTTATTTTATACAGATTTCGATGCTGATGGTCGCATTCATGCAGGTAAAAATTAATAAAAAAAAAACACTATTAACAACAAAAATTATAAAATCACGCGCATTTGCAGTCGATTGAGTTAAATAAATATGTTTTTTAGTAGGGCGGAAGTGGCGTACTCGTCTGCGTTCCTTTTTCTCTTTCTTTTCAATTCATTGAAAACATATTTGTAAACACTAACAAGTCCTATACGCACGCGTCGACACGTCACACAAGATGGCCGCGCCGCCTGACGTCACCCGGCTGTCGATGTTTCTGATTCGGATTTTGATGCTTATCTAGTTAGTTATACGAGTATCTTTCGATGGTGTTGGTTGATTTGACTTAGAAGAAACCGTCGCCGGTGGGGTCGTTCAGCCATGGGTAGTTGTTGGGGCAGCGGACGCACGTCTGCAGATTGATGGTCTCGCCGGGCACCTCCTTGGAGGTGAGCTTGCACGTGTGTGGTACCCAACAGGATGGTATACCTTCAACGTTACACTTCTCCCTCCACGGTTCGAAATTTTTACTCTCTGTCACCGTGCGTGGATTCTGAATCCATTGAATGACCTGGGTCATGGTGACGAAGTAAACATCATTGTGATTGGCAAGGATCTCGTCCACCCAGTAGAGGAAAGCATCGAGGAACTCAGCGTTGTTCTTCAACCAAGCGGCGTGGAAGTACAGACCAAGTGGGGCACGGTTGGTCTCATAATGACGATCAAAGTTGTGGTTCAGGAAGTTGTAGAACTGATCACCGGTGAGGATATTGGAGCAGGAGTCAACCATAGCACAACCAGGAACAACCTCATCAGAGGTAGGTTCTTCACGACGATCCAGTTCATTGAGGACCATCTCCCAAACTGCGTGGGAACGGGTTGGGCAGGATTGGAGGTTACCATGACATCTATGGGGCATGCGGAAGTACATAGTGTAGGGCCATAGAGGAGGATTACTCAATGGGGCAGTGATAGTTGAATCATACAAAAGGCTTGTTCTTCCATCATGGTGAATTGGTTGTTACCACCAACACGGAGGTAAGGAGCACGCACACCCACCACGCTGTTATCAGTAAGGTTCGCGTACTTTTCGGCGATGATTCTCATACCAGCCATTTCCTTGGCCCAATCATCAACGGTAGCGTTACTCCAGAAGCGTTCATCATCATTGTGACTGTTGAACAATCCAAAAAATCATTAAGATACAAAAGTTTTGAATTGAGGTTATGTTATGCTTACGTAATGGAATGCACGGCAATCTCGTGACCTTTCCTGTGCATCTCCTGCATAGCAGAATAGTTGGTGTATTTATGGGAGACGAAGAAAGTCGCCTTGATATCACAACCATTAGGATTCTTGCGTTTTCCATTAAACATATCCTTGTACAAGTTGATGTTGTTGTTGTTAATGGCGTCATCGAAGGTAATGGTGATCATCTGCGGGGCGTCCTTGGCAGGAAGGTCACCGGGGACTGTGGTGCCATCTTCCGAACAGAAGCAGTCGGGAAGAACACACACAGCTGGATCACAAGGTGGTGCCCTATTGGGATCATTGTCGATGTCTACAGAGAACAAAAACATATGATATTTAATGACGCCATCTTGTTTACATCCGATCGATGGCCACAAATAGGCAAAGAATGTGTCGAATGAAGAAGTCTGCGAAAGTGGGTCTTTCTCGCGGCGGCGAGCCGCGCCTTGCCTTGAAGGACAACGAAAGTTTCTGACTTTCGCAGTCTGCGAGCACTCGCGCGCCGCGTGACCACAGATCCCAAACGTGTTTTTCACGCTCGCATCATGCAAAGATGCAAACTACGTACCGCAGGTGTTCTCATCGGAGCCATCCGTGCAGTCCTTCTCGCCGTTGCAGAACAGACCACGCTCGATACAGTTACCGTCACCGCAGGCTAAGAAACCATCCTGACACAGGGGTTCATCGGTGAACAGCAACGGCTTCACTTTACGCTCCTTATTCTTCAGTTTGCAGTTCTTGACGGAGTCTTTCCAATCGCAAGTCTGTTTGTCGATGTCAAAGTACAGACCCGCAGGACATCTGATAGCTTGCAAGCCCTAATTATTTAATATTTGTTAATTTTATTGTTTTCCTTTATATTTGGGTGAATTTTTGAATTACCGATGATGTGCACTGAATGACGTCACGACAGTTGTCACCCTCGCCGGCGACGAGACGGAACCATTCACCCGCATCCTTGTCCTTACACAGTTCCGCTTCGAAACTGTCTTCCTTCTTAGCCGCCTCCTCTTGCGCCTCGACTGCAAAAAGCGGCGTTACGTAAGAATCAATTTTTTCTACCGCTGTGGGTACATAATCCGCGCACTTTCTAATTAAAATCAATTTTTAATCACGCTTTGCTATATATCCATATCCATATGCAAAACAAGATTTTCAAATTCGACAAGAGTGAAAGTTTTTAGTCGCTAATAAATTTGATTGGCGTCTCGTAGGAGAAAAGAAACTTGTGTACTTACCGGTGGTGTAGAAAGCGCAGGCGATGGCGAGCAGCAGGAGCGCACCGTGATAGCGCGCCATCTTCTCGGATTGTCCTTATCTGGTGGTGCGCACCGGTCGACGTCCAACGACGAAACTGAACGCGCGCGCGTTTACCGAAAATACCTCCTCGGCGCTGTTGAGTGCACCGTCAGCGAAAGAACACACCGAACGCGCGACTTTCGTACCGTTGACAAGCCCTCCGCACCGTCGTCGTGCGCGCTTTTATACTCGGCCTACATCCACGGCCACCTTCCGCGCGCCTCGCGCTCTCCAGCTCCATCCATGGTCGACGTCACCGCTACCAGCCGCGGACCGGCGTGCATTGCCCATGTCGTCCGTCAGACGCGCGCTTTTCTTCTTCTTCATCTCCGGTACCAGCGAGATAAGCATCTTCAGCGAGCCAACAATATATCATAAATCTATATATATAAAAATGAATTGTTGTTCGTTAGTCTCGCTAAAACTCGAGAACGGCTGAACGGATTTATCTTATCTTGGTCTTGAATTATTCGTGGAGGTCTAGGGAAGGTTTAAAAGGTGAGAAAAATTCGAATAATTGCCGGGAAAATCCTCAAAACAGCTCTTTTCTATAGAATAAAATTTGACATTGAGATTCAATCATAGTTATAGTTAAATAGTTGAATTCGAGATGGCGCGCTGAAGTGCATTATTGACAAAACTTAGAAGAATTGACTCTTACTACGAGTATGTCTAGAACAAGAGAGTAAAAACGAATTACATTTTTATTAAACACTGCCGGAACGAAGTCGCGGGCAACAGCTAGTATAATATATTTTTAAACGTAGGCAACCCAAATATACTAAGTTATAGGTTAGTTTTTTTATCTACCACCTTGAATCTTCAATGTTAATGAACTTAAGATAATGATAGGATATAAAAGTCAAAATCTTGCGTGCATTCTAAAAACCTTGCCCCAATCTATCATAATCCGTTGAATAATTCATCCGTCGTTCATTTTTATAACCTATACCGAACGCCCAATGACCGATGACAGCGCTGTGACATTGACATGACATTCAAATCGAATTTCCTAGAATTCAGTGACTAAACAATCACCAGAAGTAAAAATAGCAGACGAATTAATCAATACACATTGGAAATTCAGAATATTAACATAATTAAAATAAGTATGTACATTATGCATGTATTACTCAAATTCACCGAGCCTAATGTATCTAATGGCCGCGTTAAGTAATTACCTACGCGTGCATTGGATGCACTTTCACAAAGAATTTTAACGGCCAACTAATATGCGATGTCCAATATGGACATAACAACATCATGTCGGTTTTCTACAGAGTGTTGCAACAACTCACAAATGTATCATGGTAATAGTTTGTATATTTATAGAAAATTTAATCTGTGCGTGTCTTTGACGAGTAATTATCTGGGACAATATGTGCCTATTGTTTCACGACGCACTCAGTTCCAATAATTCGTGTTCATCGTGTTCTTTTGTGTTCCAGCGCTCTTCCTACCTTATTTACTTGATGTCGCCATTCGTTTTCTAATTATTTTTGTAATTATGACCATAAAGATACGTTAATTAAGTGACAATTGCGAGATATGACAAAAACGGGCAAGATTTGCAACAAAATTCCCGCCATGTTGTACGGGTACCTAATTGGCCGTAGGAGACTAGTAACGTACTCATGCTGAAATCACATACAATTGTAATTTGATTATTTGTGCATAAATAATGCATGCACAATGGAAATAAACATAAACATTGATAATATTACCAAATATTCTTGCCGGCTTTCTAAATTACAATAAAAATCGCGCCGACGTTCAAATTTCACTCGTTTCGCGTTGTTTGCGCCGTGCTGGCGTGGAAAAGCGAGATGTTTACTGTTTACGAACAATTGTTGCATAAAATATCGCTTAATTTCTTTAAAAACCGGATGTTAATCAATCATTTCGTGCAGCTTTTGGATTTCTTTAATTTCTTTCCAATCGTGCTACGAAATATTGTGTAAAGCAGAAGAAGGTAAAAATACAGAGTAATGAAATTGTAGAAGCACGTTCTTTCCGTCTTTGCGTCGTGTCGTTTGTCTTGAGGTAGGTATTTCGCCTTGGGGGCCAAACGCGTGCATTTTGTGTTTGCGGTGCCACCAGCTTCACACTGAAGCTGTATGTTATAACAAGTGAAATGCCTTCACCTTGAACCACCTTCTTCTCGCATAATATTTTGTTAACCGGAGAAAAAATCAAACAAAACGAAACATTTTTGCCAGATTTATTACATTACGTTTTTCTTGTGGAGAAGAAAAAAAAAACGAGAGTGTTATGCAGATATTTTTAGAGCCCGAAAAATGTGGACATACCAGTTGTCCTTCGAATTGTTGCGCTGGTGCTCACGCTCCCATCTTCAACGAAAAGTAAACCAATCTCAACAGGTTCATATGCCAAATATGTCGAAAATGATGTTGCACATACAAATTTTACGAATCAATTAGTGCTGGAACTAAAGAGTTTAAAAAAATCAAAAATAAAAAAATGTTACTCAGTAGATAACCAGTTACGGGATGGATTATTGCAGGTTTTAAAGAGAAGAACGAAATGTCAATTTATGCAAATGTGACTCATCCAGCAGCGCACGAATTCGTAATAAAAGGTTATTGTGTCTCAGGGCACACAAAGTTGAATGTCATTTTTGGTTTTACCTGCAAATATTTATTTTCCAAATAAAATAAAATCGAAAAAATGTTTTATTAGATAATAAATCGGTTAAATAATAGATTAATTATGATTTACAGCTTTTACTTTGCTTATAATGAACAAAATTGCATTTGTTTATGTTTAATTATTTTACCAATCGCCGAAAATGCTTTCTAAACATTGAATATTTTCGTAGCATTCCGTTAATTAAGCAAATACCGCACGCATTCGGATTTGATGTGCAGTTTATATTCGGTTTTAATTTCTATATTCGCATTAATTTCCAATTACTCTAAACCACTATATTAATACAATTAAATTGATGGTTTTAGCGCGAATTTATTTCTGGACGTAAAGTTTTACAACGCATTATGAAATTTATGTTGATAAGCTAACTTTTACTGACCACATTGTTGTAGAAATAAATTTTCGGTTACGTCGCTACATCTCTACCGCATTTGCATAACACGCTTGCACTTAGTCAATATTTCATTGTTTTATAACTTTTACCTGACTAGATAATGTAATATATGCTTAAGTATTATTTAGCACATTTATGTTAGGCAACCCAATATACACCATGTAATTATACTTATATATATATAAAACCTAAGCTGTTTTCTTGAATAATTTCTTAGGTGTCCGACGAATGGATTTGCAGATGTTATCCAAATTGATAAATTAGCACTTTAAGCGCACACACCCTCGCCGCGCGACCAGTTAATCTTAATTCTTTTTCATTTCGCTTTCCTTCACTTCTCGTGTTTAATTTTTTTCGGTGACTTTCATTACGCCGCAATCCTGGCGTGTGGAAAACTTTTTCCACTAAATAAAAAAATGTGATCGCATTAAGGGTGGCTAATACGTGTGCGGCGCAGCCACAAAACACCAGAGTCGCAACGCTCGTAACTTTTACTGCCCTCGGATAAACGTTAATTGCTGCGGCGCGCACGTGGAAAAATCGAATGTGGCGAAGGGCGAAGCCAGAAAGAAAGCTCGGCGACGTGAGCATCGAACGAAATATTGTCGTGTCGTGACGAAGAACAAAAACGTGAAAAACTTGCAAAAAAGCAGAAAATGTGAATACTTATACACACGTATATTCTTCTCGCCACGTGCGAGTGCGTGCGAGCGAAATCCATTAGGATTAGATTATCAAGATTGATTGCTTCGGGCATCGGGCGTATATGATAATGTAATGATGCCGACACGAAATAGCTTTTTATTTGCGTAAAAACGCTGCATTAAACGAGTATGACAAGTCATTTAACCGTCTGCACAGCGACATAACCTCCACGTATCTAAAATACTAGCTATAAATGTATGCAACTTTATTTACACACGTATCGTAACTATTTTTATGCTCAGGGTTTACATGAGTGGCTGATACTGACAATTGGTATATGATGACAAGGGCGGGGCTGGTATTCAAGGATGGGTGTCATAATAATAAACGTTTGACCCTCGACGAGCCTCAAAACAACCCTGTTTGACTTTTCTATTTTTGGGTGTTTTCGTGTTTCTTCCGGTTTGCGTACGTGCAGCATTTATTACCGCCGTCAACATTGTGTACACGTCGTAGTTCAAGTGCAACTTTATTTCGGCACGTAACGCTTTTACATTCCACGTGGTGACCTTCAACTCGTGCATATTTTTGACATTGCACGATAGACGTGCATCAATCAGGAAATCAAGAAATGCGGCTGAGAAATTTTGGTACAATCGAATTGATGTGACTTTGAAACAAATATTTCGAGCTTTATTTAAGGACTTGAGGACTTAATTATGTTGTATATTAATTCAGAGCGATTGCGCTTGGTTGAAATTTTAACTCGCGGCTAATGAATGCAGAACGAATGAAATAATTGCTTTTCCGGTCGGAGAAGTGGCGCGCTCAGTTGCTAATGAAAACATTTTTGTGTGCGTTACATTTTCCGGCTTGTGGTCGTCCTTGTCGAGGGAAATCTGTTTCAGACCGCACGCTTTGCTTGGCATTGACTGGGCCAAGGTTCTTGACCCTTGGGAAAGTTTCAGAGTGACCGGAAGGTAGTTAATTATAGGGTTTATTGATTTTTGTAATCAATTATCCTAGGAATTATTTATTTTGTTGGAATTAATCACAGAAAAAAGAAAAACAATTTTTTATTTCCAAAATAAAAATAAAACAAAAATTTTTCTTATTTTTTGTGATTTTTCCATTAAAATTTATTTTTTTGTGTTTTAGAAGACGAAATAAATTTTCCAACGATAAAGCACCTAAATTATACCCTTGTCAATGATCTATAGTTTATAGAAGGTATATAGAAGGCCAAAAGTAACGCCAAAGACGGATGAAGGCGAGGCAGATAAGAAAAGGTCGTGTTTATTTTCTATTCATTGCTTTCCGTCGTTTTTCACCAGTCATTGCATCAACGAGATCAATTTTCATGTTTGCACCAACTTAGTTAAACACACCAAGGGTTAAAACACTGTTTATTTTATAAATAATTTTTTTATTAATTATTTATAACCTAACATCTAGGTGTAA